TATAAACAATTTTAAAAGACAGGACTTTGCCACAAGGGGAATACACTGTAAGTGCAATCTTAGCTGACAAGTAAAATTTAGTTGGTCTCTTTTGGAGTGGATTTATAGCTATTTTATTTTATTGCTCTCTGTTAGACTGACCTATGACCAAAATTCCTCAAATTTTCCTTTGATGTGTTGGTTCTGTTCAATTTGATCACTTTACCTCAGTGTACACTTAAAGCAATACAAGATTCACTGTTAAATCAATGAACACAATGGAGAATTGAATTGATGGAACAATTATGATTATTTATTTAGCTTATTAAGATTATAGACACCAAGGAAGGCTAGATACTGTAATGTCTACAATGAAGAATAAATTATTGTTTATTCTAAACTTTTGATAAGGAAAATTGACATTATGTTTATTTTTTAAAAACATTTCCTTAAATACTAGTGACTTCCCATTGAGCCTCAACATTTTAAATACAACTGGTAAAGGAGTCAATGGATCAAATTCAGTAAATCCGAAGTCACTGAAATAAAGGCCCATAAGAAAAATGTGTCAATTTTAAAGGTCTTTCTTAACTGAAGACCATTTTGTGATAGAGACAAAGGTTAATAAAATCAGTAGTGAATGTAGCAATTTTACAGATAAGCTATTCACAACAAGTGTAGTTACTTGAATAAAAAGCTAATTCAGTTCTAAAATGCCACATGCAGTAGCAGTGAATAGCTGCTTTTAGGTGCTTTCTGGAGGAGGATAAAATACAGAATCACAGCACTCTTCTCTTCCAGCGTCCCTGGCTGCCTGTAAATTGCTGTGAATGGGACTGTGGGCTGACAGACTCTATTAAGACAAACTGCCTTTCTCATCGGAGAGATAAAATAAATCAGGTGTTTAGTCAAATTAAAATACTTCAGATGGAGCAGGCCCTGGGGAGCACTGATCCACCTGACAAATCTTAGCGAAACTCAAGACAGATGTGTTTTGGGGATAAGGAAAGCCCCATGGAAAAAAATGCAGCACTGTCTTTGGAGTTAGAGAATAGATACAGTTTAGGGCAGAGAGAGAAAGCTACGTGTGTAATATATAGTATTTTATGAAAGCAGGCATATTTACTGTAGTTGATATCTTTTATATGAAGTTTTTTGTTTTATTTGTCTTCATGGCAAATGCATTGTACAGATAGCAATATATATATTAGTCAGCAGAAGAGTTTATTTACTGGTAATGATTTTAGGGATCTTGTAGCTTGCTGCAGTAAGTGGATGTGAAACAGATGATGATGGTACACAGCTACTGATGACCTCTGTTGGCCCAGCCAGATCAGCTCAATCTGGTCTGCATTCTTAGCAAGTTGTTTTTTATTAGTATTTAAACTGTAAAATAATGGATAGGATTTTCCACTCCAAAATTAAATTATACCATTATTTCCCCTCCTCTCCCCCCCCTCCCCCACAACATTCAGGCATCTTTTATTCTTTCTTGCCACAAGTAGTGTTCAGCTAGGTTGTGACACAATTTCATAGGCTTCTCATTATTCCAGTCCCATCCCATTTGTGGACATGAGTTGCATGGAACAGAATAAGGATTAATAATTGGTGGTGGTGGGGGGTCAATAATTTAATGGGGTTAATTATTTTAGATGTGGTTTTCTTCTAAAACAATTACCAATGATGTTTCCTGAATGGGAAATGTAATTTCAGCGTGCTACTGTATGGAATTAAAATAATGGAAAAGGAGATATCTTAGATGCTGATGTTCTATCATACCTATATCAAGCATCCCAGCTAAGTATAACAGAATAGGCAAATGTCACAGCTTTAACAAGCATTTTGTGTTCTGGTTTTATAACCATATTATGACGTAAATACAAAGCATGCAGAATAATATGGTAACAAAGTGGAAGAGTAATGCCTGCCTTGGGTGTGTAAAATATTTTATGACACTAAGATCAAGGCTCAGAATTTCAATTCAGAAGCTGGTTGACAGATGTGGAAGTCTCAAGCTATGGTTTCCCCAGGTGTCAGTGAATGGGTCTGAGTATCATCTTAGTCAGCAGGTTGGTTCCCATTGGCTTTCTGGATTAAGTAGAGGAATAGATCACTGGTGGCTATGGAGGGCAGGTAAGTGGGTTTCCCCTTGGCAGTGCTGAGTGCATTTTTGAGGTGGCTGTCTATTAATTGAAATTTAACTAGGGGGTAAAAATTTCAAAAGCACCTAAATCACTTTGAAGCCACAGTGTACAATTTTCAAAAGTGACTTAGTCACAAAGGAGTTGGTTAGGTCACTCATCTGAGAAGAGGGAGACCTGAGTTTAAATCCTTGCTGTAGGGGTTTAAATCTTGGGTTTGGAACAGGGACTTGAATCCCAGGGCTTCCATCTCCCAGGCAAGTACTCTAGCCAGTGCAGTATAATGGAGGGGATGACATGTCGTTCTCAGTTTTGTGAATGCCAGTGGTGCAAAGTTTTGGTTGAAAAATTTTGTCCAGCTCTATTTAGGAGCCTAAGTCCCTCTGACTTTCAGTGAAACTTAGGCTCCTATGTGCCTACATCACATTTGAAAATAGTATTTAGCCTTCTAAGTCACTTAGACACTTCAAACATTTTTGCCCAGATTCTCTTTTGGGGCATTGATGCACTATTTTAATTTCACACGATCCCTCTGGAGTTTCACAAGAAATTGGATTGAACAATAGAGTGCCCTTCAGCTTTTTTCTTTTAAAATATAAATATTAATTGAAATTAAGAAATGCACTTCAGAACAGTTACCTTTTTACCCTGAAGTTTTGGGCTGCTGAGCAAGATTGATTTAATCCATGCAGTAATTGTGTTCTCTTTTCCAGCCAAATAAACAGATGTAGGTCACATTTTTGGAACACTTTAAATGAAAATCATATTATATTTTCAACCTATCTTTTGAAAAATCCTTACAATACTATTTCTACAGTAGCATTTCAGAATAAACAAAAATTAAACAATATTTCTTCCAAGTGGATGTACTTAATATTTACAAGAGAAAACATAAAACATGCAGTAAATACAGATTGAAGATTTCTGAAATCTTTTCACTAATCTTGGCCTCTTCAGGTTTTTATCCTATGCTCATCAGTGTGGCAGCTGAGCACCGCTGGTGACCAGTTTTGAATATAAACCCCTCTACACTTTTAAAAATAATATTAATCCAAAAATAATGTAGTGTTAGTAGTTGAGTCTCTGGGAGTCTCAAACCTGCTGCATAGAATCCTGTTTGTTTCCCCATCCTTGGAGAAGAAGCAGCTACTGAAACCTGGCAGCCTCTTCTTGCCTGGAAGACTTCCATCCTCCTCTAGGGAGGAAGGTGGAGTCAGAACTCTGATGCCAGCTTTTCCACTCCTTACTTGACCCACTTCCCCACAATTCTCTTCTCCTTCCTCAAAAAGTCCTAAGGCTCCTCTTTACCTGAAGCTGCCTTCTGTGAGTCAGTGGGAGGGAGGGATCGCCTTAACCCCCTCATCTGACGTCATATGTCTTTGGGGCATCTAGCAGGCTTACCTGGATCTTTAGCTGGTTGGCCTGCTCCCCACCTCTTGGTTATTCTGTGGGCCTGGCAAGACTCACTTCCTCCAAATCCAGTTGGAGCTTTTTTCCCAGGAGAAGGTAGCTGTTCTGCTTCCCAATGTCCCTTCACTGTACTATGCTCTCACTGTGCTTGTCCATTATAGTACTCTGGATCTGAGATGCTCACATGGGAAAGAAACCTGTGTGATTCAAGTACAGTAGGTTGAGATTATTACTTGTGCCAAAGTAAAATGTTCATATTTAGCATATTTTTTGGCTTGATTCACAAAAGGCTCATGAACTCTTTACTAGGAGAACCATGCAGTTTGCCCATAAACAGACTGCTAAGCACCATTAGCTTAAAGAATAAATGTACCATAGTGTCATGTTAATTAAACATGCTCTACACAGTAAACTTTGAAAGTTAAATGAGAATTTTTTAAAGTATTTTCTCAAGTTGAGCCATTTCTCAATGGCTACAAGTGTAGCTCGCCTTGTATACTTGTTCCGTAACAAAGGTTTACCTTTGCCATGATTTCTCAATGACCGTAAATGACCTAAATGACCCGCATGCTATAGTGTTCCTACAGCATGCTATATATGGATGGAAATCTTCTTAAATAAATGACCAACAAACCATTAAACTGCTCTCCTTATTAAACAGAATCTTGTTGCTAGATAAGTTTATGGAGGGAATGGTTTGATGGGATTACGTGATTCTAATCAATTAGGCAATAACGGCCATCGCTGGTAAAATGAGGGTCTGGCTAGAGAATCTTGCCTGTATGCTCGGGGTTCTGCTGATCGCCATATTTGGGGTCGGGAAGGAATTTTCCTCCAGGGTAGATTGGCAGTGGCCCTGGAGGTTTTTCGCCTTCCTCCGCAGCATAGGGCAGGGGTCGCAAGCTGGAAGATTCTCTGCGTCTTGAAGTCTTTAGATCACGATCTGGAGACTTCAACAGCAGAGCTAAGGGAAAGTGGGGGGGTCAGCTTTTGTGGCCTGCATCATGCAGGGGGTCAGACTAGATGACCATATTGGTCCCTTCTGACCTTAAAGTCTATGAGTCTATGAGTCTATGAGTTGCTTATTTTGTTTTTTTCAGAATGTACAACTGAGGGAAAATTATGTTAATCAAAATGTGAATTTGGTAGTACATGAAGTAGTCATTACCCTGGGAAGGTTTAGATGGAAGGGATAGAGAGATTTGATATCGCATAATTAATTACTCTTGTCAGAAAAAAGAAATAGTTGCTCTCAATCGCGCTTCCGCTTCACAATCGTTGTAACGTCCCCTAATGCTTGGAACATAGCAAGGCTGCATGCTGGGATCTTTTAGGGAATTTCTAGTAAAATATATGTTCAAGCTGCCACTTGGAAAAAGCACTTTGGTACTTAACCCAATTTCTTTGTGAATATTGTTCAATAACTGCTGTCTACCTGATATTCACAATGTATCTTTCCTCCTCATTTAGGTACACCAGAAAGCTTGGCAGAAAAAGAGCGACAGCTCTCTACCATGATCACCCAGCTGATCAGTTTACGGGAGCAACTCCTGGCTGCCCATGATGAACAGAAAAAGCTGGCAGCCTCTCAAATTGAAAAACAACGGCAGCAAATGGACCTTGCTCGCCAACAGCAAGAACAGGTGAGGCTCCAAGAAAGAAATCTGTGCAAATATTTCTTTCAGAATGTTAAAAACTCATAATAAACATTGTTCTGCTTGGTGTTTCCTTTCATCAGTTTTATTAAAAGAGCTTATATTCCTTTGTAACCAATAGAAATAGTGAATTGTTTTTTTTATTTTCATAAAGGGAAAAATATTATAGGAGACTGAGAAAAAGTAGTATTTGGAATTTCAAAGCATTTCTTTCCTACAATTAATCTCAGTAGATAGATTGTTTGATTTCTTGCTACTCATGTGATGAAGGGTAGCAAGTTACCAGTAGCCACACTATCATAATTTTTTAATTCTCTCTCTCTCTCTCTCTCTCTCTCTGACAACTAAACAATCAAAGAAACAAGTACATAATTGAGAGACCAGAATATCTACAGAGAAAAGAAGGCAAATAATATTTTTAAGAAACACAGTTGTTCAAAGAAGCTGTCCTTGTCTTGTAGTATAAAAATCTAACAATGATCCCATATACTAATCCCCTAGGCATTAGATCAGACAGATCCAAATTAATGTGCAGTTTTTAGGAATCTGACATTATTACTAGAATTATCTTTTCAGTTAAATGTATTTTATAGGTTATATAGCGCAATATATGCTCTGTTGATTTTAATGAGTTGTGACGTCTGGTATTTTATGTGCTTGAATATTTGCCCACATGTAGGAATATGGACTCATCCCTTAATGGAAAATAACATAAAGGAACACTGTAAAAAATCAGAAGTTAGAATGTCATTTAGCCATCCAGAGATGACACAGTAATTAACTATTGACACTTGTGAATAAGCTAGCACAAATTAATCTTGACACATTTGCAGACGAGTGATATCTTACAGTGAACACTTTGTAATTATATTTCAAAATGAAAATTAAATGACACTTAAAACTAGGTTGTCATGCTCAATGAAGCGAGCATGTAGCTCAACCGATTGGCAAATAAAATTCAGAATTTGAGCCACATGGTGCTTATGTATCATACTTCACTGTGTTGAGCCTATACATCTAGCCTATGTTAGGATAATTGCACTGTCGTGTTTTCTATGCATTTTCCATTACAGCAGTATACCATTTAGGAGGAACCATCAATATTAGATGCATAGTGGAGTTTTGTTGGTTTCCATCAGGAAATGAATATTCAAATGCTACTGTATTGTACTTAGAGATGCAGCGATCTGTACACCAGAAATCTGAACTCTAGCAAATTAGCCCCTCCGCATGCACAAGCTAAACAAAGCCCTCAACACTGCCCTGACTAACTTAGGATGCAGAGGAGTGGCCAGATCGCCAGCAGTTCAGAATGATTTAAAACATAGGATCCAGTAGCTGTGTAACAGTCAGAAAGAAATCACTGTGTATGATTTTCATTCTGAATCTGATTTGGGGATGGTGGGGGGCGGTGCACGTTTGAACTGATTTGAGTACCACTGTGGATTGAATCTTGAAAGGTCCACTTGCGAACATGCATCAAGTAAGATGTAATACAACTTTAAGGTGAAATGGCATCATGCATACATCCTTAATTAAAATAACATTACTTAAGCATTCATATGGAAGTGTGAACTGTCTCAGTAAAGAGGATCAGCTGCAATTGCCCCTCTAAGCATAGGCAGTACTGGTGATCATAATTATAACAATAACCAGGCACTCTGAGATCCCGGCAGCTGTCCCTATATTACAGGGGTGGCCAAACTTACTGACCCTCTGAGCCGCATACAACAATCTTCAGAAGTTCAAGAGCCAGGGTGTGCCTGCCAGGGCTTGGGGCTTCAGTCCTGCAGTGGGGCTGGGGGGTCTCGGGGCTTCAGCCCCATGAGGTGTGTGTGGGGGGTGGGTTTGGGGCTTCAGCCCTGCTCCTGTTGAGGCCCCTAGTCCTGGCAGGGCTGAAGCCCCAAGGCCCCCCTCCCTGCTGGCTCAGGTGCTGGAACTAGGGGTACTGGGGGAGCTGTCGCACCCCCTGGCTTGAAGTGGTTTCCATTATACACAGGGTTTACAGTTTGGTTCAACGGCTCTCAGAACCCCCACTATAAATATTGTTCCAGCAACACTGCCTGCTGGGCAGAAGCTCCTAACCTCACCACCCCGCTGCAGGGCAGAAGCCCCAAGCTCCCCCAAACAGCCTGATCCTTGGAGAATGGGGGGAAGGCATGGTGGGCTCTGAGAGCCGCACTTTAACTGTAAAAGAGGCGCATGCAGCTCATGAGCCACCCCTGCTATGTTATCTAGTCACACACCGTCCCCCTCTTCAGCAGGCCTTGCTAGCTGATGCAGGACCCTGTTTGAGTTAGTTGCATAAGTAGCAGGAGAGGGCCTCATTCTTCATTCCTCACTCACTAAACTCCCATTGACTTCACAGGGAGTTTAGCCTTAGGAGATCATGCCCATAAAGATAGTTTGAGCCCATTAGTCGGGAACTGTTTGTCAGTCCCTGAAAGTGGGTTTGATTCTGCTCCTGTGCTAACTATCCTGTCTCTCAGCTGCAGGAACTGGTGGACATCAACTTCCTATTTGAGGGTGTAATTGGGACTTATGTGGTGCATAAATCTTGTACTCATCCCCTGCACAGGGATGATTTTTTCCTGTAGCAATGAAATAAATGCATATTTTTTCAGATCCTGCAATTTCAAAAGAAAAAGAAACCTAAAACTGATCATTTTGTGCTATACTATTGCCTTCTCCTAACATGCCTAAAGATACCACATTTTTGTTTGCATATTATGCAATTGATCTGAATACTTTGCACTAAAGTTAGTTGAAAATGCAATCGTTTCTCAAAATCACCCTCACAGCATTTACTGTATTTTCTTTATCAAAATATTATCTCTATTGCCCATTTTCTTAGCTTTCCCAACATTGAAACATATGCACATGTAAAATCATGTAATATATCGGGGGAGGAGGGAAGAGCGAGAGAGAGCAGTGTTCTTCCCACACACTGGGAACTAGGTACTCCTGAGTTCAGACTTTATATCTGGTATTGACTCTTGCAGAGGTAACTCAGAAGAAGTCCGATCATCCCCCTTCCCAAGGAATATTTATAGGAGGGGAAATGATACTTGAGAAATGAGTCACAGTGTGAGACTCAGACCCTCAGGAATGGGAGGATGGTGTCCTAGCAGAAAGAGAAGTCAGCAGGATTGGTGAGGCTGGGTCTCCTGGTCAACACAGATTCAATCCCTGATCAGATCTTCTGAGCAGTTATCCCTCCAAGACAGCAGTCCCAGTAGCTCACCCAGCTCCTCCTGGCTTCTCCGCGGCGGCAGTATGGGAAGTTAATGTAACAATGGGACAGTTAATGCTGGTCTGCATTACCTGCTGCACAGATTTCTGCTCAAAAATACATCTTCAGCCGAGAGGATCAGGCCATCTCCTTCTGCTCTAGGAGATCTTGGGATAGCTCCCCTCAATCTGCACAAGCCTCTCTGCACTCTGTCCCATTGCTATACGAACTTGCTTCTCTCAACCCATGTAAAGGAAAAGGAGCCTCAGACCCCTAACTTGTCACCTTCACTTGCCCGGTTGATAAAAGGAGAATAATAATATTCACATATTTCACAGAGTTCTTCTGAGAATTAATTATTCTGCCACTTTTATTGGGTAGCACCTTTCTCACTGAGCAGTTCCACTTAAGGCAATGGGACCTACTAGGGAATAAGGTACCACTCAAAGTGAATAAGACTGGCAGAAGATTGCCCTTATATGCTGTATTTTGAAGCACTCCATCCATACAGCCCCAGTTCAACAAAGCAATAAAGCATGTCCTTAACCTTAAGCTCTGTGGATAGGGATTGAATCACACACCTGTATAAAGTTAAGGACATGCTTATGTGCTTTGCTGAGTTGGGGCCTAAGTGTTTAGTATTAGTACATAAGTTTTACTGGATAGTTACGTTCCGATGTTACATTTAAGTTTGAAATGTTTCTATTATTTATACAGGTACCTCATAAAATATCATTCACTAATCTTCCTCCCAGTGTTTTGGTAACTCTTAACAAATGATGCTCAATCAAAAAAACCTGTTTGAAATGATCATGAAGAATAACTCAGAGGTGGTTTTCACTCAAGAAGATTGAAGTTTGGACATTACTGTTTTAATTTAATGAAAAATTTATTTCTAATAGATTGCAAGACAACAACAGCAACTTTTGCAACAGCAGCACAAAATCAATCTACTGCAGCAGCAAATTCAGGTCAGTGTGTTTTATTGCTCTCTTCTGATTATGCTTAAATTCCATTTACAGAGAGGGAAGGATTTAAGATGAAAAAACCACATGCTTTACGCATAAACCCCTACAAAGAGGGTCTCTGTGTCTTTGAAAATAATTGTCAACAGTATTTTGATGGAAACTGCTTTTGGTTAATAAGCAGGTTTTTTGAAAGTTGTGAATTATTTCTTAAATCTTGCCATTTAACTCTAGAATCTGCAATCATTTTGATTTACACGCCATGAAGGAGAAGCAGAGATTCAGTTATTGTTTATAGATTACTTTATTGTACAAAGAGAGAATTGGCTTTATAAGGAGAAGATTATTATGGAAAACAGTCCATAGAAAACATCTGAAACTTCATTAACCAAAGCAAACAACTACAGAGCAGGAAGATAGCCTTTGAAATGCCATCATTCCCCAAACCTTTTGAGACAAAACTAGGTACCAGGCTCTGATATCTTGCCTAATATCCAAATGCGTGCTGGTGCACCATGACCCACAGTACCTTTTGGTGCACTCCATAGGCAACCTTGTAGCTGAGCCAAACCCGTAGTCTCTAGCTTGATCATGTACAAGTAGACTCTCAAGTGTCTATAGAGGTGGACAGTCAAACTTTATTTGCAGGTGGTGTTGATGTGTGGATTTCCTCACTGTGTCATCCTCCCCTCTTCCCCGTTCTGATCAGAAGCCTTCCCTTGGCCTATTCTTCTATTTAAATTTGCATCCTGGCTGTTGACAAGCTATTGTGTGGCTGGTCACCTGCTGTATTGTTGGTTATGTTGTGTAGCCAGAAGCACCAGTGAGAGCCACCTGCCTCTGTCCCTACTATCCAGCAGTCTCTGTAGGCAGAAGGTGCACTTATTCCTTTCCTCATCCTCTCCCCAATATGTTTGCATATCCCTTTGCAAATATCACAATGTTATTTTGTTTGGACTTTAATTGGTTTAATTAACATTCGTCAAGTACGCTGACACCCTGGGATGAAAGGCACAACAGAAGTGCAGAACATTGTCGTCATTGTTTTCTTGGCTGAATGTAGTTTTGAAAAGAAGACTGTGTGTCACTATATTAGTTGTGCATTGGGGAAGGAGAGCATAAAAATACTTGAGGCAAATAAATATTACATATTCCTCTCTACCCATGACTTGCAGAACAGGTAACATTAGTTTTAGAAAACCATTCATTAGTTTATTACATAAAAAACATCTTGAATTGGCATAAGAGCTACAAATGGCTTAAAAAATGTAAAAGTGACCAGAAATTCATGTTACTTTAGGAAAAATAGGTCCTGGCATTTTTAAAGGTGAATGGGGTTTAACATTTCACAATGAAACAGGACAAAGCTAGTCTCCTTAACAAATTCATCTTATTTCATCATGCGCAGTAGCATCATCAGAATGAGACCATTCAAGGAGTTTCTTGAATGCATACAAACATTTACTCCTAATTAGAAGTGTATGTATCAGTAGAATTTGTTGGTCCAGAAAGAGTCAAATTATGACTGTGTGAGCCTTTAAGGCACTGGAATGGGGGAATCATCTTTGGCATAAGGTATAGGACTGCCTTGGTCACTCCCCACCATCCCACAGCATGTTCCCCTCAGTCACCTTTGGCTATCCTCAGAATTCATAAAAAAGCTATGCAAGAGTTTTTTATTTCTGTTGAAAAGTGGGATACACAGACATGGGAAAATGTGGTGTTGTGGCAAAAGTCAGTTTTTCTATCTATCTGGCAGAACATGGTTGTCTGCAATGGGAAGAATCTTCCTTCATATTCCCAGTCCAAAAAAACTTAGCACTTCTCTAAGATTTTTGGAAACCTTCTGGATCCTACTATCTGGCTCTCTTGCATTCCCAAGTGATTCCAGCCGAACACTATTGTGGGTAGATCACCAATCAATAGAGCTCCATGGGAATCCTTACTAACCTGCCAGGGACCTCCGAAAGGTCAAAGTAGGGCAAGAACCAAATGTATTTTAGTTTTAGGAGGATTTTCATACCCTAGTCTATAGTGCTTATGTCCACATATAATTTGTCTGCTAATGCAATGGGTTATGGGTACAATTCTTGGCATATTTTCAGAAACAATTTTCTTTTTGCACCCGTCAGTTTTTGATGAACTTACCAAGAAAAAACAAACAAACAAATAACCCCCCTACACACAAAGAAGAGGCCGTGAAACAAAATTTGTAAATTTCATGTAATGTATAGGCCCTTTTGTGGTAGAAAAGGTGGAAGTTCCCATATGCACTGGTTTCTTTAAGGAGAAAGTGCTAACTCTGCTTGCAAGAATATGTCTATATAAAACGAATAATATTTGGGTGCTGGGTGCTACCTTCATGATGGGAATTGAAAATCCACAGATTTCCCTGAGACTCATTGTGAAATCTTAACTTGCTTGCAGCGTGGTCAATAACAAACTGACTGCAATTTTCACGCTCTGGAATAGCTTTATTTTTGTGCCCAATCTCATTTCTTCTTGCATTGGGATTAATTCTGATTCTGATTGCATCCATAATTTTTAAAAGGTGAGTTCTAAGGCTGTCTTGTGGTAATAAAATAATAAGGATCTCTACCTTGCCGTCTTTGTAATAACCGATATACATAATGCCATGATAGCAGGAATCCATCAGCAGAAATTTTATGGCTTCTGTTGTTCTGTCAGTGGTGCAGTGTCTTCCATTGGATTTGGGAAAGGTTTGCTCTTCCGTTGACCTGAGTTGACAATGCATTGGGAGTGACTTGCAGCTTCCTTCTCTCCTCCACCTCCATTTTTTCTCCTTTATAGGATCCTTGGCAACTGTCTGAATCCTTGTGCATCTCTCCACATGAAGATGCATAACAGGACTTTTAGTAAATGGCTATTCTTCGTCCCTCAATGACTGCTAAGTCTTTTCCCACTTGATCTTCCCCATATTCACTGATCAATTAGATGCGAAGGCTGGGCCGATATAGGGTGCTCTTACTCCATGTTTGTACAGTGGTTTGGGCTCTATTGCATGTGAAATATTTGTAGAGTGACTTTTGTTCATATGCATAGGATGGAATCTAATCAATGTGTCTGAGGCAGGGAAAGAATTTTTCCTCCATATCTCGGTGGCCAGGCTCACGGTGGGCTTCTTGCCTTCCTCTGGAACATCCTGTAAGACTCCTCCTGTCAGTTATTAGGGTTGTGGGGGATGTGACATATCAAACATGCATGTGGTCTCTCAGGAGGGCTGCTAGGAATGCTAGTTGTTAGGTTTATGGAGGAAATCTCCTATTCTAGCTGATGTTTAGCCTACATAATCCACAGTTACCATCAGCCAAGTAGTTCTTCCTTATTTATTCGTTCATGCTTATTTTGTTGCAGGTTTGTTACTCAGGCATTCCTTGTGATAGAAGTCGATTGTCTTAGTCACCTCCTTTACAGCTTATTGTAGGTTTGGGAATGGGGGAGAACCTCCTTGCTATTTAGTTGATTGAGACTGTTAAGACTAGGTGTCTACATTTCTTGTACCTGAAAATCTCCTGTTGGCAATGGGTGAGATGTTACTGGGCCAAGGATAGGCTGAAGGATGTGATGCTTTATATTGCTGTGTCTGGTGTGAAATAATAATTGTCCTCCCCTTTATAAGAGATTATGAAATGTGAATATTGTAGGTGTCAATTTCATCTGGGCACAGGCATGTTCATGGCTCAACTACTTGGAAATCAGTTCAGTATGTTCTCTACTGCAGTATTCCGGGGCAAGTGATTGTGGATACAATGTTTTCATCACATGAGATGCACTGTGTACCTCTCTAATCTTCTGAGGTCTGTGGCATAGTCTCCAAACAATAATTTTGACAATTTAAGGAATACAATTTGAACAATTAGAAATAATCAAAGAGGCTCACTATACTTCAGTCAACAATAAGTAAAAGTGAAAAGAATTCATTAAAACAATCACTTATTTCCCCCCTAAATTGCCATTACTTCAAACATCTTATTTCGTTTATCCGTTTCAAGGACCATTTTCACACTCCATATCTGATTATCATATATTGTGCAGCTTTGTCAACAGCGTGTCAACAAGAAACATATCAGGTATGGAGGCAAAACCAGTACAGTCATCTTAGGAGTGATGAGCTCATATATTTATGTATTTATTCACAGTCAGTTCAGGTTTCTGGGAGTGGATTTTGGGGAGGTAGTTTTGTCTAATAGTTAAAGCATGAGACATTCCCCTTCTTTGTCCACTTCTATAAAGTGCTTTGAGATCCTGTGATGAAAGGCTCCAAATAAGTGCAATGCTTTATTATTCCCCAGCCCAATTACTCATACCCCCTGAAGCTTTCTTCCCTCTCTGTGTGGACAATAAACACCCTTCTACAGGAGAAGTTCAGAATTAGAAGAGCTAGTGTTCCCAATTACGATCCTTAATCCTGCCACCCAAGGCAGGCAAGTCTCCCATTGATTTCCATGGAGTTACAGATGAGGAAAGTCTTCAGGGCAAGCAAAGGCTGCAGGATCAGGTTCTGAGCTGTTTTATATTCCTTGAGCCAAATTAATTTCTGATCTAAAATGTACAAAATCTTAAAGCAGTAGGAAAAAATTAGGCTACTCCAGGGCAGGGTAGGGTGGGGAGATATTAATATATGCTATTCTGGGAAAACTCACCTTAGGGGATGTGGGAAAAATCCATTTAAGGAAAGACTTCTTTAATGCATCATAAACAGAAGGGAGCATGCACAGGATGGAAATGCTGAAGTCTGACTCTGTATAATGGGTCCAACTGTGCAAGGTGCTGGATGCCCTCAACTCCAAGTGAGTTCAGGAACTTGTTGGAGACAGTCAACTCCTTCCAGGACTGGGTCTGCTGAGTGTCTGTCCATGTTCTGCTGGAGGAGGAGGAGACTTTGAGCCCAATTCCTCAAGCATTCTGCATGCAGAAGATCCATTTAAGTCCGTGGGAGATATGGGTGTAGAGGACTTAAGGAACCAGGCCCTTTGCTGAGTCAC